GACTTCGACCAGCTCGCAAGAAGGGTTGGGGAGAAGACGAGTTGAAAAACTTTCATTTTTCAGCTATGAAGCTGCTAAAATCGTTGCTCGACTTCGACAAGCTAGCAAGCAGTGTTGGGGAGAAGAAGAGTATATTCATTATTGCTTGAGCAGGTTGATGATTTGAATTTGAGCTTGATTTTTTCGAAATTGTATTTCGACCTCGGTGGAAAGTCGAGTATATTCATTATTTCTTGGGCATGTTGATGATTTGAATTTGAGCTTGATTTTATCGAAATTGTATTTCAACCTCGTTGGAAGGTCGAGTATATTCATTATTGATTGAGCAGGTTGACGATTTGAATTTGAGCTTGATTTTGTCAAAATTGTATTTCAAACTAAGTGGAAGGTCGAGTATATTCATTATTGCTTGAGCAGGTTGATGATTTGAGTTTGAGCTTGATTTTGTCAAAATTGTATTTCAACCTCGGTGGAAGGTTGAGTATATTCATTATTGCCTGAGCAGGTTGACAATTTGAATTTGAGATTTTGTCGAAATTGTATTTCGACCTCGGTTGAAGGTCGAGTATATTCATTATTTCTTGAGGAGGTTGATGATTTGTATTTGAATTTAATTTTGTCGAAATTCCATTTCGACCTCGGTGGAAGGTCGAGTATATCCATTATTGCTTGACCAGGCTGGTTTTTTGAATTTGAGCTTGATTTTGTCGAAAATCCTTTTCGACCTCAGAAGCAGGTCCAGTGTGTTCATTGCTGCTCAAGCAGGTTGTTATTGATTCTGGTTTGTTGAATTAATTTTTTGACCCCGATGGTAGGTGGAGTATGTTCATTATTGCCCGATTATGTTCACTTGATTATTCATTACTGCTCGAGCAGGTTGTTGGTTGGTCATTCTGGTTTGTAGAATTTATTTTTCAACCTCAGTGGCAGGTCAAGGATACTCCTTATTGCTCGAGCAGGTTGATTGCTTTTCACTTGGTGATGCATTATCGAATTTATTTTTCGACCTCGGTGGCAGGTTGAGTGTATTTATTATTTCTCGAGCAAGTTAACGGTTTTATTTCACTTCGTTTCGTCAAATGCGATTTTTCGACGTGAGAGAGGAGTCAGGACTTTCAGTCTTCGAGAGGATACACAACAGACTTGAATTTCAAATCTTGAACTAGGGGGCGACAGGATGAGGTAACCGGAAAGGTTTATTATTAATTGACAAAGCAGAATGTGTAAGTTCAAATTTTCAAATTCAAGACTTTGGGAAATCTGACATATGGTTTTCGAATTCAGTCTCGGTTTTCGACTTTAACGGTGGATCACTCGACTTCGACCTCAGTGGTCATTCAATTTGCGGCCTCCGACCTCAGGGTCATTCGATGTTTGACCTCAACAGCAGATCAGTCAGTTTTCGACCTCAATGGTCTCTCGACTCTTGGTTCTCGACCTGGAGGTAGCATCGAGTTATTCAGTACCCAATCTCAAACACAGTTTCAGTGCTCAATCGCAGAGACAAATCTTTTGGCATTCGAACCCAGTTTCGATTCTCGATCTCGGATGCAGATCTTTTGGGTTTCAACTCCAGAGGCGGGTAACATGGATTTCAATCTCAATGATCATCTGACTTTCGATCCTCGACACTAGCAGAGGGTCGTGGACTTCGACCTTAAGGGTCATTCAATTTTTGGTGTTCGACCCAGAAGCGGGTCACTCGATTTTTAATCTTATTGGTCATCCGGCTTCCGATGCTTGACCCAGTGGCGGGTCACGTAACTTTCGACCTCTACAACCATTCGGTGTTCAGTGTTGACTCAAGTGGCGAGTCGCTCTATTTTTCACTCTTGGATCGAGTTATGCTCACTCGACCAGAGTGAGGGGACTAGATGATATAGCCACGACTAGTACTGCCAGCTCGACCGGTAGTATCTGATATAGCATGTCGTACCCAACTGGTTTTTATGGATATATATTGAAGAATACGCCTATACATGGGCTAAGACACTTGATATGATAATATGGGCCGAGCCCAACCTAGGCCAGGCTCAATTTGGACTATAAGGTACACTCCCCCTATAAAAGGGGGAGGAGGTACTCATTTCCTGGATTCCCTACACACTCTCTCTATACACTATCTCTCTCTCTCTCTCTCTCTATGCATTCTCATATGAATCCAATACTGACTTAAGCATCGGAGGCCCAAAGCCGGGCACCCCTCTCGGGGTCCCTGGCTTTTGGGTTCTTGTAGGTACGGTGGCCGTCCGAGTCGAGGGAGCCCAGGTGACATCTTTGTCCTATCAGTCGCGTACCGTCATCTCCCCTTGTTTGAGTGATAGGAGCTCGTTCTCGAGAAGTTGCAGCTTGAACTCATTCTTTTTGTTAAATAATGCTCTTAGAGTGTCCCACGCATGTTTTGGAGTGCTTGCGTCCCGTATGTTCTCCAGCAGCTCTTTGTCAATAGTCGTCTTGAGTGTGTACATGGCCTTTCATGCCTTTATCTTCCATTTACGTAAGGCCCTAGCTTCTTCGGGTGGTGTGACCTCTTCTCCGCCAACAATTTCCCACAAATCTTGGCCTTGGAGATACAACTCCATGCATGTCCTCCATGTGGTGTAATTTGATTATTGAGTTTTTCCATTCCATCTACTGATTGTACATCCGCCATCCTGACTTGGACTACCTCCTCGTAACCAAGCAAGCCTCACGCGCTTCACAATTTCTTTTAATTGTGCATGATGTCTTTGAACTCAATAATCTCCCCCTAGTTGACGACAACTGATGAGCCCTGAATATATTGGCAAGAGCTTGAACTCTCCAGTCGTGGCTCTGATACCACGTGTTGAAAATAAAGGGACCAATAAACTCAAGACTAACACAACAAATTAATTTTATTATTACAAATATATCACTCAACTTACAATAGCACTTAAGGAAATTCACTCTATCAACTCACTTCTCTCACTCACGTACAACACACACAAGCACCTCACTCACTCTTTTATTTTGTTTTGATTACTCACAACACATACAACTCGCTTGCTACATATATTTATAGTTGCCTAGGATGATTCTAGTATGTCGGTGGGTAAATATCGAGGCTAGATTATTTTAATATTTCTCTAGTATTATGTGGCAAGATTAATTAGTATGTACAATTTTTCTCCACTCATCTGGAAGCTTCCCAAAGTCGGTGGCGATAATTTTTAAAGGCATATGAGAATATTGAGTAAACAGTTATAGCTTAGTCATTGAGTTAGTTAAAAATATTATTAGCATGGAATTAGTTTATGCAATTAGTTGTAACCCTAGTAGTTTGTTGGATAGCATGTCGTATGTTTTTGTATAAAACCATCCTAAAAGAACAAACATTATAGCTTCCATCGTCACATCCAGGCTTCCCTTGATTTCAACATGGCATCAAGAGCCAGAATAACCATTTTTTGATTTTTTTTTTTCCTTCCTTTTTTTCTCTTCTCTGCTCGCCATGGCTGAGTTGCTGGCATCGAGCTACCTCCCTCATCTCACTCTTATGCCTCTCCAATTTGACCGTTCTAATTTTTTGTATTGGAAGGCACAAATTCTTCAACGATTCGAGCTCATGGCTTTGACGTTTTTTCTTTTTAATCCGTCTTCTCCAGCACAAGTTCTCTATGTTCCTACTATAGCTCTTCTGCTCCGGCAATAAATCCAGCTTACACGCAATGGATGCACACCGATCAACTTATTATTAGCTGAATGCTGACTTCTATTACGGAATCAATGCTTGGTCATCTTACTCAATGCTCAACTTTTGCTCAGGGTTGATCGGTCTTATTTCAGCTCTTTCATACTCAGTCCAAAGCCAAGATTATGCATCTGAAATTTTTAGCTTCAAACCCTAAAAAAGGGTGATCACTCGATTGATGATTACGTTATGAAAATGCATACTTTTCCTGATGAATTGTACTATGTTGGTCACCGTATTACTGATGATGATTTACTAATGTGTATACTTGGTGTCAAATGACAATTGTGAGTATTACTAGATTTTTATCAATTCAGTTTATAATATAGCCCAATATACTCTTTCCTTTTGACGTTTTTAATGGGTAAACTTGACAAGTACCAAATGAGTTGGATAATTAAGCTTGACACACACTTCTTCTGCGGGCTATTTAATTGTGCTCGTCCTCGTTGCACAGTCCGTTATCCTTTTTTTTTGCCTTTAACAATTAATTTAGCCTTATTTACTAGAAAATGAAAAAATACTTACAAAGTTGACTGCAAACATGTTCGACTCTATTTGTTTGATCAACAAGTTCGATTAGCTATTTGGGTTGAAATTTTAAATATATAAGCGAGTACTCGAGATTGAGTTTTCACAATTCAAACCGAAATATGTTAACATATAATTCTATTCTAGTCATGGCCAAAATCAGTTATGGGTCGAAACCGCCTATCTCGAACCGAGAGTTGGAGGGCCTGAACCGGCCCCAACATATGCACGGGCCGGTTCATTCAACTATCGGTTCTTGGTCGTCCAATTCATTAAAAAAAAATAATTATAATAAAAGGCGAAACCTCTAGTTTCGTTTCCAGTTGAGAACCGAAATCGCCACTTCAAAATGCATAAATTATAAAGTATTGAACATAAACCTGACTGGTCAAAACTATTGGGCCGGTTCAAAACCCATAGTCAACGGATCGGTTTGTGTCGGTTCGGGCGGAACCGACGGGGGTTGTCTCATGACCATGTCTACTCGGTTTCAATAATAGCTACAGTAATATGCAGTCTTACGCCCTGCATCTAACATAATAGAACACAAAATAGAACATGAAGTCCCCATTCCCTATATGTGCAATGCATTCCTGTCACTTCTCCTTGGATATACTAAGGTAAAATTATATAAGAAATAAACAGAAAAACACGAGAGAGGGAAACGAAAATCTGCGACAGCATGTGCAAATTGCAATTGGACCAAAACTAAACTAAATAAAAAGACCCTTATTAATGCCCTCACGACGTACCCCTGTCATTTATTTTTCTTCTTCTTTTCCGTGGACTCGAGCATCTCCTCTAGCAGGCTGTTGTCCAGGTACTCGAACTCAATCTTATTGTGCGACGACCCCGAAGAAGTCCCCGGAAGAGGACACAACGTGGATGGGTAGTGAGGGACCGGAAGCCGAGAGTAGTACTCGTTCGGGAAATTCAGAATCGCTAGATGGCCCTTGAGATTGAAGGCCACCTCATCGTAGGCCCGGGCAGCCTCTTCGGCCGTGTCGAATGTGCCTAGCCACAGCCGGGCTCCGGGCCGGGTGGGATCACGTATCTCGGCCGCGTACCGCCCCCATGGCCGCCGCCTCACGCCCCGGTACCGGGTCTCGTCCTTCTTCTCCTCCCTTTCCAGCATGCCTTTGCCTCTTGGTGAACTGGAAGATCCGTCCATTTTTGTTTTTTTCGATTGCCGGTTTTAATTGTGGTGGGTGTTCCTATATATAGGAAGTTAAATCGGACTAATTTGAATTAGAAATATTGTGAAATGTTGGGGCAGAATAAGGATTTTCGGAAAGTTGGATTTTCCGACAAAAATCGAATTTGTGATATTCAGAGGGTGTAGGGTTACCTGTTATTTTCGACCAAAGAATCACCTGATTCTAATTCCATGTCACACTTGACATTGTATTAGATTTGCCTTGTTCAAGTTGTGTTAGTAATATTCTTAATGCTTTTAGGAATTATTGAATATTGGTGTGTTGGATATATATCACGAGTTGATTTATCCTTCACTGAGAATTGCAACATTTTGTTGGTAATAGTAACTTTCCTAATTCGGGCTACAAAATGAACAACTATTATTCATACTAAGTTGTGCGTACTAGCATGGGGTTTCTTTGCATCTTTTGACACTTTTTGTTTAGAAACATAAGTGAGCAAACTGACATGTGGTTGTCTTTTGAGGCATTTTTTATGCAAGTGGGTAGCCGAGTTTGTGGATGGTCATTGCACTTGTGTATGCCGTCTTTCGGTTATTTGTACTCCAGTATTAATCTATAAAATTTACACTTACCGATTAGAAAAAAAAAAATTGTTGTGCATAGACATAATTTTATTCAATTTGTGAAATCTAGAGCTTCGACTCACTTTTATATTTAAATGAGTCAAGATCGAACAATGAATAAAGCTTGTCTTTTAGAAAATGTGAGTGGAACGCGTTCGTGATCAATTCGGTAAGAGTTTTTTGGTTTGTTTATGCTTTATGGCGAAATAAATGGTCAAACAGAGTTTATACAAGTTAAACTCGAGCTCCCACTTATGTTTGTGCACTGAAGAAGATGAGCTACGCCAAGTTGTTTGTTCAAAGAGTACGAGTTCGAAATAAAGTACTCGACTAGATTAATCTAATTGAACATATGACGAAGTAAAATGTGAAATCAATTTCAACTTATTAATATAAGTTACATGAATCACGCGGTAAATAAAATTAACTGTGAATACTGAATTTGTAAAATGAAAATATCAGTCATTATAATTTACTGTTTTGTTTTATATGGAGATGACCCTCGTTCAACAAAAACTTGTAAATTATTAACTATTATTGTATACATATGATAATTGTTCATTTCAATTGATTTACTATCTTTTGTTTAAAAACTAAAAAGATAATTTTTCTCATCTTCTTGAACTTTTTTTTTTTCGAAATGATAGAGATACTATATAACTAAAACTCGCACAAAGTGCGAAGAAAAAAGGGTCAAAAGCTGAAAGGTACAACCAAATGCTGAAAGGACTGGGAGGACAAATCCGAATATCGCCTAGAGTCTAATCTAGCAGGCTAGAAGAACACATTCACAAACAAGACAATACAGAAAAAATAAAAAAACTACTAACTCCCAAACATGAGACCAAAAAGATACCAACAGAGTAAAACGAGATCTAAACAAAACAACAAAAGCAAACCATACAACAAATTTAGTAAACGACCCTCTTGAGTTTTTAGTTAGAAAAAACAACACAATTATTTAAAATATAAATCTCTATACAAAAACTCGTAGTCCTCCATGTGTAATTTTCAAATGTGTTGAGTCTCGGTGACGGACTCACAACCACAGATCTTATGTGACTAACTAAACCGACTGTTGGATTTTCAGTTAAAAACTGAACCGAACCATAAATTTCACTTTGGTTTTTGGTTCTTATAATGGATAGACAAAATTTTGGGTCAACCGAACTTCGTTCGGTTCGGTCTCGACCAAATGAGCAGTCCTTGGTGTTAGTGTATACTTTAGAAGGTTAACTTTCAGTTTTTGAGAATACCGTTTGGAATAAAAATTATGTTTTTAGTCAAGTGTTATGTTTGTAATTTATTTATTTATGCAAGCATAGTTCCTTTAGTTTGCTAATATGGTTAAATGTGTCGAACAAAGAGGTCATATTATCGGTTCCTTATAAAATTTAAATTAATAGTTCACAATCATATTATAGTGTGATTATAGTGTTGGACTAACTATTGTGAAGGTTATAGTGTAATTTTGAGTTTCGATCTTTGACTAATGGATTACACTAATAAATCGTAGATGTATTGGACGGACCAACGAAGGATAATATTATTTTATACTGACCAAGTAAATACTCTATTCCCCAGTAATTATTGCGTTTTCTTAACGAGTAAGACAATATAAACAGACATGTATATTCGATACTTTCTTATTTGATTTAAAATGGGTGAGACTTGTTCCGGTATGCCAACGAACTCCATATTCTTGTAAGTAATTGCCGAGTATATGATGTTCTATAGAGATTGTTTATGGTAACTGTGTCCCTGTTCGCTGGGTTGATGATATCCACAAATGACCTCTGGAAGGTTTATCATATTAATCCCTATACGAGGATTTGTTTCTGATATAATAATAAAGAACTGAGTAGTACTGGTTTGGGATAAAGAAGCGGACGTTGGATATTAAACATGAGGAGGTAATCCGAACAATTTGCTGGAAACGAACTATTTGTAATTTGGCCGTTAAATGACGATTTCAGTAATGTTGTTATAGTGGCTTTTAATATTATTCGATTGTGTATGGAGAGGACTAGGCTCACAGTTGGATCCACAATTGGAGAAGTCCATATATAGCACTTCTTTAGAATCCATATTGTAACCTAAAAATACACAAATCCTTAACCTCCACTATGATAATTAATGTGAGATACTCAAATTATTAAGCAAGAAATAAGACTAAATGGAGAGTTAGAGAAGAGAGAAAAATAGTGAGAGTTTTTTTATGTTCATAAAATCTGACTAGTCGTCCACCACATCAATTCGAAAGGTGATCGGTTATACAATAGAAGATCAAAAGGCTTTATATTTTGCTATCTTGATAAATGTATATTCAACCACGTTAGTTTACGACGACCACAAATCTTGGTGTGCATCTCCATTATTGACAACCACCACCAGTGGAAACCATCGGCGGGCAAGGCGCACACTAGCCACAACTCGACCGTGTGACCCAGGCGCACGCATGACCGCAAGACGCCCACAACACCTCGACGCAGCGACCCGACTTCCATCAACAATCCCATCGTCAGCGCAAGGTGCTTTTTGGCGGTTAACAGGCATCGGTCTAAAACCAGCGAGACTCAGAAGAGCTCCATCAACAAAAATCACAAATGTATTAAAGACGTTGAATTTTTGAAACGTACATCCTCAAATCCTATCAATAGATTCCGTTACAATGCTATTAACTTCGTTAATTATTCGAGTTGCACATTAGTGGACGTTCTTAACCGAACCAACAACTGGTATCAGAGCTCGACTAATTTGGCTTATGTGTACACTTCAAATTAAAATTATGTGAACATACGTTAAATTGTTTGTGTACGAAGCAACACATCATAGTATAAAATTGCAAAATTTGAGTTTTTGCAGAAATTCATTGTCCGATTATTATGTCTCATATGTATGTGTTTTGTTTCAAAATATTGTTTATGTTTTTGAAGCCTCATAAATTTCCTAGGTTATGAATGATTGTAATAATTTATTCATGCGGGGACTCCGCATAGTTTAAATTGGTTTACTAGAATCATCCGTGTACGGTCCCTGCGAGGGTCATAAGTCAATTATGTCTGCTGAAAGCTCGCTGTTGTGTGCAGGCGTAGTCGGGTCACGCAAAGAGACCATGTTTATTATTATATGGAAACAGATGCCTGCCATTGAGTGAGAGGAAGCATTACATGTTCGACCGAGTGCGGGCGACGCGAGTGCGTGCTTTGTGCATACACGCTGAAGCCTTCGGCTTGTGCAAAGCCTGGCTGCGCGCGATGCACAATAGCCATGGCAGTGATGTTGTGTATACCAATGTCTTTATGTGTCCTATTTTGGGTTCTATCAGCAACGTCATCGATGTGCACATTCAAATCCAATTATAAAATCCTAACACATCGAAATCAATAATTAGGATCATGACTTAAGAATTTAAGATTTTTACTGGCTCTGAGAAATTTCTGATTTACGTTGGTGGTGATCATCTGATCCTCATCGAGTCGTAGTGCCCGTCACCTCATGTTGCTCGTCCGTTCTGATCACCACATCATGTTTCCTAGTGTCTAAGTCACGTCTCGCATTGCCTTCGGCTTTCTAAATTATTATCGGACCACACCTGAGCTGTTGGAGGTGGTTAGGACTCGCCATGGCTAGCCTGGTGCATGTAAAGCTCACTATAGATCTGTTGGTGGGCTGGTGGCTTAACATTCCACGGTCTAGTGC